AAAGTGAAAATAACGCATCTCTAGCGCCTCGGTGCGGTGTCGGAAAAGCAACAATCACAGATAATCGAGCGGCTCTCACAATATTTGGATAGGATGGCACCTCGATTATTCGAACTAGCCTCGGTAATTGCTTCGGATAATCGAGGTTCTACTGTAAATCAAAACTCTAATCTAATAAGAATATCACAACTATTAAGCCTGTTATCTTATGAAATAATTTATATTACAGGCGAGACGTTCTTGATCAAGACAAAAGAGAAGTCAGACTTTTGCAGGAACTGCTTTTTGAAGATGGTGATTTAGGTGATGGACATAGACAGCGCAAATTCCGATGGAAAAATGCAGGTGTTTAATAATTACTTAGCAGTTATGGATTATCTGTTTTAGCAATTTTGCTGAATATAATGGATTACTTATTGTATAATGGGTTACTTGAGTGGCAGCCTCGTACTGGCCATCGCAGTGTAGGACGACCCCCGTTAGATGGAGTGGCTCAGGATCGTACTTCGGGGCAATCTATGGGGGAGGCCTATGCTCACCAGTGGACTCAAACAGGATGAAATGGGGCGGTCATTAATCCCGTGAGGCTTGATAGGGGTGGGGGAGGAGGGGGTTTGGAAAAATCCTGAAATATCACAAGGAGGAGGGGGGGTGTAGTAAGATATCACATGTATTTACTTTTTTGTCAAACATTGTCGTGATACGTGACAAGAACTATGTCCTGATTTGGCTATGGCTTAAAGATAATATTCTAAACATTTTAAGATTTTTTGTAGGTACTAAAATTACATGTGAGTCTTAAATCTCACCACGTTTCACCATAGGGGAGGAGGAGCGTCCTGGTTGGATCGCGAAAACTTTAGCATTTTAGGGCTTCACACTCTGCGTCATGTTCAGTAAAGGGTGCACACTACATTAATACCTCTAAGGTTTATTCTTATTGTTGCTCAGTGCCCTTAACAAGACGGCAGTATCATCCGCATTGTCTTCTCTTTCACACCACAGTCTAAACAGTTTTCCATCTTGCTTAGACTATGTGTTGTGAACATTTTTAATCATATATTTTATTCACATATTGTACACAAGTGGGATGACAGAACCAAATTCACTTTGGCGTTTTGTGCCACCCCATCTATCATAATAAATAAATGAAGTCTTTCCGTTATATTGTTGACCAAGCTATGACTCTCCTGTGGAGACAAACATTTGAATGAAAATGCTTAAAATATTTTATACTCTTGATGTTTTGTTTATGCAGATGATGTGGACGAGACAGGTGCCACATTAGATGAATTTACTGAAACTCAAGAAGAATTTGAATCAGAAGAGCAGTGGAGAAAACAGAGACATGAGAGAGAAGTTTTTCTGAGGAAAATGGTAATTAGCAAGATAATTTTCATGGAGTGATTTCATTCACCAAAGGATATAATAATGTTGCTATATTAATTTTAATTGATAATAATTAATTGTGTCTCATTTGACAATGACAACATATTCTTTAATACCGGTTAAAGCCTACACATTCTCTGTTAATATAGGCTTACGTTTAAATGTAATTTTTTAAAATAAATATAAGTTATTGATGTTTTTAAGTATATAATATTAAATATTATCATTCACAGAAAGGAATTGACGATGAAGATATACATAATACTAGTATTAATAGAACAACCATAATAAAAGCAAACTTGTGTTCAAGAACTATGTCAAGCTTATTATCTGATTTAAGTGAAAATATTGTAGAAACTACAGTTGCCGATAAAAAGCCTTCTAAGGATATACCCAGTCCAAAGAAACCGTTTCCTGTCTTTCAGGTAACATTTTTTTAAACATGCCATACAAAATTTTATCTTTTATCTTTCATTAATTTGATTTTGTATTGACTAGGATTTAATTACCAATTTTCAAATGCATGTAACAAGTTTTGTTCTATGATGGGTGGTAAAATAAAGAAAATAATAAAACTAAATAACTACAGTGTCGCAGAATATTTACAAACTTGTGGTCACAAAGAACACACTTAGATTTACTTTTTTCATGGAGCATACAAGTTTCCGTCCTGTGTGAAGATTGTACCGATTGGCAAGGAACGAAGCCATAATACCTCCCATGAAGTCATTATCAGTTATTTAGATATATGCAGATCACATTAGTACCACTTTCTTTTCTAGCAAAATTATCATGGTTCACTTCTATCGCGCGGAAAAGGAGCCTTGGCCCGATTGGCAGCCATTGCGACGCCTCTAGCAGCTGATGACGATAACACACCCAAAGCCTCAGCAGCCACTAACAGGGGAAATTTTGTCTTTGCTGCACTCACACCAGATGAGGTTGAACCTAAGGTGCCATAATCGTTTATTTTCTGGTTCTTAGGTTTACATTTTAATTTTATATTTAACACGAGATATAAACAATGAGGCAAATCTTTGTTGAAGTTGAAGACCAAAAAATTTAAAAATCCTTATATGTAAATAGCATTAACAAAAACGAAAATGTTATCAACTATACCTATAGTTGATAAAATGTTCGTTTTTCGATCATCTCTGTCTTTCTCTCATTGGTACCTCCAATGGGAGCAAGACAGAGATGATTTGGACTGTGTCATAAAAGAAAGATTTATGTTGTGCCTCACACAATATATTTCACACTAGCTGCTGCTCGCGACTACGTCTCCGTAGAATAGGCTGAAGGCGTATCATTCAGACAGAAAGACAGATATACATAAAATAGTTATATAAATATGTATAAACTTTATTATTGTAAAGTTTCATTAAAATCCATTCAGTAGTATTTGCGTGAAAGAGTAACAAACATCCATCCATACTTTCGCCTTTGTAATATTAGTAAGGATAAGCTGGATACTATGTGATGATTTAGGTGAAATTCAGGGACATATTCTAACAAAGATATGCTAAGATAATTTTTTTTATTTTTGCAGGTATCTAAAAGAAAAGCTGATACTATTCCTGCTTCACCTGGAAACAATAAAAAAATGAAGACTGAAGAAAAACAGGCACATTTAAAGAGTAGTTTATTTGACTATTTATAAGAAAATAAATTCACATACATAACTAATTTACAAATTTTGATGGATTGTTTTGTCATGCTGGATGCTGTTTAATTTTTTTACTTATTTTTGATACATTCTTTCTTAATTCACTAGGTATGACAATGTTTTCTCCTCAAAATTTTATGTAAGAATGAACACTGGCGTGATTTATATTTCTCCTATATTTTCGTATTCCTTACATTTTTATAACTTGAAAGTGACTTAATAATATAGAAAAGTATTTTAAAATGATAACTTGAATTATAAAAATATTTCTAAATATGTATTCAAATTTGTTAAAGTAAAATTCAAAGTAATTATTATTGGAATATTTACTTTAAAGTTAACTTTTGTTTAGTAAATGCTTGTAAGTATATAAGTTTTATGGTTGACTTTATGGAAAATGTTACAAAATAAATTATTTTAAGCTCTGTATATTTTTACTTGTTTAACTTCTGCCATAGATTTATGATTCGTTGTACAGATTTTATTATGCTTAACTTGTGGAATTTCAAAATTCTCAATTTTTTTATCTTAACTTTCATTAAATTTCATCTAAATGTGATTGAAAGAAAATGTCCTCTACATTTTCTTCAGCAAACATTTTGAAAAATGCATTATATTTCGACTTGTAGGTGGACTTGTGGTTCTAAGGCTGGAGCGTCTACGGCCTCGCCAAGCGAGGGAGGGAATATTGAATACCCAAGCCACCGCGATTGGATGCACTAAAGTTAACATAAGCGAACTTTTACTCACATTAACTATATCACTTTAGTCAAGATGGTTTTCGGTATCCATACTTCTATGAGGTCCACTTAGCTCAAAGGACCTAACTATTCGTGCCACGTCGAAGAACAAGACTGTTCCGTGGCTCTACCATAGATGAATAAATATAAAACGTGAAGTAAACGCGAAAACCATCAATTTTGTAGTCCTCAAAGCTTAAAGTAGTCCATAGGACTAGGATAAAAAAAATCTGTATGTATTTACCTTTAATCTGTTATCGCAGGACTTAAATTATTGCGTGTATTTTTTCAAAAAATATCAAATGAATTAGAAGTCTGTCCATCCTTAAAAATCATACACTGGAAATACTTACTAATTTGCTGTCTTCAAACATAAATTAGAAATGTGAGTAAGAATATTATGAACATCTGATGTTTGGTGAAAAATCGAGCAAATCTAATTATAAACTAAATTCCTTCTGTTTTAAACTATACTAGTTATGCCCGTGCCTTCGCTAAGTTTTTGAAGCGTTGAAGCCCTTAAATAAATATCTTAATTAAAAAAAATATTTTTTTGGTATGAAAGCGAAACGTAGCGGATTTGTAGTCTTGGCCGCCCTAGGCCCCGTTGATGAATTTTTTGTCACGATTAGCCGCTCCTAATATGTGGCCGCCCTAGGCCCGGGCCCTATTAGGCCTTAGGACAAATCCGCCACTGTTAATAACGTAATAAACAAACATACATTCATATCACATTTATAATATTAAGTAGCGATAACATTTATATTATTACTAAAATTAAATAACTCGTACCGGAAGAACATTTTAGTAATCCTTTACAAATTTTGCTATTTTCATATGAATTAATGATTAGATGTCTCGTTTATTTATCATTTATATGTAATGTTCATTATAATTCGTTTTCCCTCTTATTATTTATGGCAATATTTGTAGGAATTTAGAATGTTGGAAGCATTGACACAGCTGTATCCTTCCGCTTCGTTGTCTCAGTCTTTCTTCAGGTCCATTCGCAACGCAAGTTTATTGTCTCACTCACGCTTGGGTCTGCACTCGCGCGTCCTTCAGTCCGTTGTGTTCTGGTGTCTCGTTCAATCAATGCTTTTTTTCTGTGGTGTGGGGTAGTAGTGTGGCGTGGACGAACTTCTAGTCAAGTAAAATTAAAAATCTTTATAAAGTACACCTGATATAGGTTGTACTAGATAAAAATGGCGAATGAGCTTAAGGAAATTAATGATATTGTAAAAAAATGCAAAATTTTACTTTTGGACATCGAAGGGACAACAACATCGATCAGCTTTGTTAAGGTAGGTCTGATAATTGGCCGGCCGGTGTTTTGTTTCAACATGTGTTTTTAATGTTCTAATTAATCGCGAACATAATATGCATTTATTAGTCCCATCAGACTAGCAATGTCGCCATAAAATTTGATATAGTAGGGTAAGTAAAACGATCGCGTTTTAGGATTCGCAATATGGAGGACGAAATCAAAATGGTACCCTATTCAGGTTACTTTCATATTCAGATACACTGCCATCGGTAGTATTTCTACTATGAAATATATCCTAAATAATATTTGAGTAGAATAAACATTAGTTTTATACCGTTTTATAAATCCTAATAAATAATTTGGTCGTAATTAAGTTGATTTAATCATTAATCTTAATGTTTTTATTAATTTTAATATAATTAGAAATTTGTTTTAAATATTATTATCAATGAAATACTTCCTTATCGTAAAACTATTCAAGTATGCCGGTACAAACAGCTGTTTGCAGCAGCTGGCTGTTAAAAAAAATGTGGGACAGTTAACTGTTCTCATTGAATAGACATCATGTCGCTTATGCCTGTCTCTCTCATACTTGAGTTTAATTTACCGAGTTATGATAGAGACGAATAATGTTCCGTATATTGATAATTTTAAAGGTATGCAAAATACTTTTGTACTCTCAAACTCTGATGCCACAAACTTTTATTTACTTTGGAACTCTTTTGAACTTCTTTTATTGTTTTGAGGACAAAAGTTTTGGCGGTTAATTGAAGACTATTAAAAATTATTTTACCTGCATTGTTTCTTTTTCTCTTTTCGTGGAATAAGGTACGACTTGCCATTGACGTCCGTCGAATTGCGGGGCGGCGGGGTGAGTGGGAGGGGGGAAGGGGTGTATTCCTTCTCCCCTTAAAAGAAAAAGTTACCGAGCCCCCCAATTTTCGAGTTTTTTAATATTTAATATTGCTAAAAATTTCGTTTGTCACCGGGTTTTTTTTTTTACCAAAAAAAAATTTTATGTGATAAAGAAAAATCACTAATGAAATAATAAACAAGCAGAATTTTCCGGCCACTTATAGTTTTCGAGAAAAAAAAATTTAAAACTTGTTATTTTCACTATACAAATTCGCCAGCATCCGCCATATTAAAAAAAGTTTTTAAAAATACTAAAACTACTGTTGCACTGACGTTTCTGGGTGGTCATAAAAATAACCACGAAGGCTCAAACCTTCTAACCTAATCTATCCGAGTCGGAATATTCTGTGTCGGATCTGTGACTCATTTAAATTTTTCAAAAAATTTTAATTTATTGTTTTGCAATCCATACGAGTATGACGTCGCTCGCTTCTGTCTGTATTGAGTTTTTGAAGTCAAATAGGAATATGACAGTCTTTCTTAGTGAAAATAAGAAGTTTTAAATGTTTTTTTTTTTTTAAATAAAACCTACGCGTTTCCGCATGTTGAAATTTTGCGTGTGTGCTTATTATAATGTAACCTTTCTGTAAATAATAAAAATATCAACACCCAACTGGACGGACGTCAATGGAAAACAGCCTAAAATAATATGTTAGATATTTATCTAACATAATATTTTGTTGTGATTTGAAAATAAATAGTAATTTGAAAATATTATTTCTAGTTGGTAACTATTATTGCAAATGTAAAAAATATTTTTATGTAGTTTTCGTGAGATGCTATTAAATGAAGATTTTATTTAATGATGGGTTCGAATTCCTCTTATTACTTAACGTAATTGTAATTTAAGTTTTTTACTACTCACGTTCATGCTCGGTATACAGTGGCAGTTTTGCCACCCATCATGTTTAGGACCAAAAAAATGTAAAATATGTCCGTATCTGAAATTAAAATATCTAATCCACTAATAATCTAGGTCGGACAAGGCTCCGTGATAAACAATAGAAATGTGCAACCACGAACCTAACCCATCAGTTAAAAAATGTTGAACCTAATTTAGCTTAGTTGACAATAATTTAAATTAAAAAATTGTAATCGGTATAAAAAAAAGTAAAGTAGGTAACTGCTCGGTACTGCCTTTAAATGTCCCATTGCAGAGCAGAGGCCTCCACATTACAGAGGGTATCAGGGCACAGTCAACCACGCGTCTCCACTGCGGATTGGCGGACCTCACATGCTTTCTAAATATTTTTTTTCGTTATTATTTTAAAAATATGCAGGTTTCCTCACGGATTTTCCTTCACGTTGAGCATGTGACAAGTCAGCACTTAAAATTAAAAAAAATCATTGGTGCCGGCACCGGGGATCGAACACGAATTTCGACCTAACAAAAAATTTATTGGTAGAGAAAAATCAAAAATAAAATAATCAATAAGCAGAAATCTCTGGTTTCTTAAAAAAATTTAATTTCCCTAAATAAATCCGCATTTTGTTTGTGTCAATGCATTGCTATTTTTTTATTGTTACAGATAATACCCAGTATTTCTGGTTATAAGAAATATTTTTAGTATTACCTTATTTTTACTTAACATTTTGGGTTCATAGCTCATGTTCTCCATTGCCGACGTAGGTGTAAGGAGGCAACCCCTAGAAAATAGACGAAATATCGCGCGAAAATTATATCAAGCATACACAAATTGATATAATGATACGCAACGGGAGGTTGCTTAGTTTTATATCGTGAATAAAATCAAGCTTTTGCACATCGCCAACTCGGCCTATGTCGTAACTCATGACTTCATGACTTCAGACAGATGGCGCAACACGACCTTACAAAGGGGCCCAGCCTAGAATGGCTATCCTGTGACGTTTCAACAGAAAGGCAAATGCATCGGAATAAGTTATATTACGGCAGCGAGCAGACTTAAGGCCCATTTACACGATGCCATTTTCTTGTACATACAAGAGCAATAATTGAATGCAATAAATTGCGCGCAATAATTTGTTAGACCATTTGTTGTTTAGACCATGCAACTCATTTATTGCTTCAATTTAATTGTATACAACAGGCAAGAAACTTGCACCGTGTAAATGGGCCTTTAGGATTTGCAGTTGACGGATTTTCTCTTGGACCTTTAAATTGAAGGGCTATGGTGGCTGTTATAACTAGTTTTCTTTTTGTTCCCCATTTCAAATGTATGTTAATACTTACAGTTAAAACGGACACCAACGCAATAAGACACAATTTCGAGATTTCCAACATTGCTAAAATCTTTATAATACTTGCCTGGTTTAGTAGAAAGCGGGAGTGTTAGCTCGGAACCTGAACTGATTAGAAATTCGCGCGCATCGAGTATTGTAAAAAGTAGTACAATTAGTAAACTTTATTTAATTAATATATTTGCATAGTACAAAATAAAAGTTGCTGCCGATGTTTATACGCTTAGATCTTTAAAACTACGCAACGGATTTAACTGTTTATTCTTCTATAATATTTCATTAATTTTACGCAAGTGATTCAAGCGGATTATATTTAGTATACATGCATATCATAGTAGAGAAAAGCGGAGAAATTTAATATCTACATTGTACCCGTGCAAAGCATGGGCGGGTCCGCTAGTTTATAGGTAAAAGCATATAATCGCAAAGTAACATCTCCATAAAATGTTATCAAACGACTTCTATAAAAAGGGGGAATTTATATTTTTGTATTTGATTTATTTCTAATGCCCTATATTAATTTAATTGAGACCAACTAAAAAATATGAAGCCAAAATACTACTTGATTTGATTTGTAAGCAACGACAATAATGCGCCACTTAAATTGGTGTTTATTAATTTTAATTACAACAAGATGTGCATGCGTGGAATTTTTAATAAATAATTTTCTAAAATTAAAGTGACCTACGTTACCCCTTATTACACCAGCTATCTGCCAGTGAAGGTCCCGTCAAAATCGGTCCAGCCGTTTCAGAGATTAGCCGCAACAAACAGACAGACAGACAAAAATTTATTTTGTTATATGTACCGTGTATACTTACTATGTAATACTTACTTATTTTAATATTACAAACAGATTTTGCCGTAAAATAGGTGCATGTATTGAATTTGATTGTGAAGATTCTCGCTCTGGTAGCAGCCGACATCGTAACTCCCCTTCTTCAAAATACTTGCGTAGCTTGTTTATTATGGACCCCATTTCCCCGTTCACCTTGTATATCTAGGTCCTCAGGGCGGACTCTGCAATGGAATCATTAAAAATGAGACCTTATTACATTGTAATAGGTAAAATATTCGAATGTTTATAAAAATTATCCCTTCGAATCTGTGTCTAATGCTATGTTAGGAGCTCTTAGTCGCGAATGCATTGTTGCACATATATTACACATTATAGTAAACTCTAAGAAGTAGGATAGACATAATAGATGCAAAAGCATGGAATGTCATTATTTAGATAACAACCCGATTTACAATCTGAAATTTTACATAAGAACTTAAAGCAAATGTTTTCAAGATATAGAAACTGTAGACTTCAGTTTTATATTTTTAATTTTAATTAAAGTATCATGAAACTATTCAGGAGTAACTAAAAAAAGCTATATACTTTTACTACCTTTTTGCTAAATTGTATAAGAAAAACGATGTCATAAAGTTTTACTTCAGAAACCACTGTTTTAAACTGAGTTCCGTTCGCCTGCCTGTTTATCACTCGGTCTGTATCAGAATTATATCAAGTATGTCACGTATATACATAGAAGTCTCAGCTCAAAAATTATATATTATAAGTTATAAGTATATATTATAAGTTTTGTATATAATATATAGTATATATTATAAGTTTTGTTGTAAAATATGTACGTTACTATTTTGTCAATTATATACACATATAGTTAACTGTCCTGTTTTGATTTAACAAGTTCTGTCAGCGTTCATCTACCATCTGCCCTAGTGAGATGGTGATACAGAACATCTTTTATCATACATGTAACAACTGATAGAACAGCCAATGAGTTATATGATTCACTGCAGGCAAAGGCCTCGTCTGTCAAGAGGAAGAAAGTCTACGATTATTGGGAACCAGATTCGCCCAACTTTTGTCAGTTCATTGTACTAATAATTACAGTTCACTTATCCGAAGCGCCACAAAGTTGTTCCTACTAAATTGCCCCGAGTACCTGCGCGTAGTCAGAACGCCTTTGTAGCTCCATTGAGTGACCGTGATTTTTTGCGCTTTTATTGTGTTGGGGCGGTCCATTCGGCGCTGACTGGGTGCCCCAGACCCGGCTTTCGCCCGCTATTATTATTCCTGATGGCCGCGAGGAGTAGTTTTGAAATATCAGTAGGAATCAGAACGCATAGAAAAATAATTTTTGGAACGCACGCATAAAATGTGTTTGACAGGTAGGAACAGTTTGTATGGGAAAATACAATTATTGCTATTTAGATTTTCCATGCAATTTTCCCATAATTACTCATCGTTTAAACCTTCCCTGGAATGGATTTTGTGGCAGACAAATATTTCAAAACCAATATAAGCCAAATCGGTCCAGCCATTCTCGAGTTTTAGTGAGACTAACGAACAGCAGTCCATTTTTATATATAAAGATTATTCACGTTTCATTTATTAGAAAGCATTTAAGACAAAGACCTTTTTGTCTATAATGTCCATCGCGGGGTCAGTTAGGACTGCAGTTAGCACTCGATTGGCATTAAACTGTTCAGTAGTCTGTGTCCGTGTCAAGTTTTTCGAGTCCGAACGCGGGGCCTGTGATCCCGACAGCCAGCGCTCGTAGAGACGCCCAATATAATTGGAGTATATATCGCGGCGCACGGCGCGTCTAGCCGGGCCTTTACGTAGGCAGGTTCGGCAGGCGTCTACTATCCGGTTTTGATAGTGGTCGCCTGTACCGGTTCGTTCACCCGTTCGCGGCTCGGTTTCACCGGCGTTTCTCCCGCGCTGAAACTTTAATAGTCTCCCTTCTCTGGGACTGCAGATGTACCCCGCGTATAACTCACGGCGGCACCATAATTTACCTCTGCCCGTGTGTCGCACACGGCGCGCTGGCGGGTTCGACGAACCCTGCTTAATTATGCACACGAATCCTTACTATTCTACTTTTATTCGATGCGTATTTTTAACGTTTAGTTTCGCGTCGATTACACGTCTGTCACCAATGTTTTTATAATTACAAACTTGGTTGTGGTTCTCTAGTTATAAGCGTCCGAATGGCTAAAATATGACAGGCCTCATTTCATTGTCTTGAATATGAAGTAGCCATGGGCACTGAAACAAGAGTCGGCCATGCTAATTTTGAACCTTGACGTATTATTTTATCACAAAAATATTCTGTAAAACATAAATTTCTTAATAAACTTTCATCAGGTAGTCTGCTTATACGAATTCGCAATAGAGTCGCGAGGAATGTTACAGACACGTCTTGCACTTTTCGCATCGTAATGCAGTAAAATGGTGGTATATTAAACTCTCGCTTTTCTTGCGTCGTGGTGTTATCGCACAACTCTTTTAAAAAATCGAGGAACATTTCGAAACGTCTGCCGGTAAACGTTGGAAAGGTCAAGTGAGTGCTAGGTCGATCATACCTAAAAAAACAAAACGGGTAATAAATAATGAGAAAGAGAATGATACTTTCTTCAACACAAAAAGTAGAGATTTTTTATTTTAAGCTAAATAAATGCAAAAAACACATTAAACTACCACCTAAAAACGGTTTTAAATATACTTAACCCCTCAATAAAATTACCTTTACCAGTCAGTTCTAGACGTGAAAGTTAAAATGTAGTAACTGCATTTCGTATCATATTAAATAACTTTACTTTTTGGATAAAATTAATCACATATATGCTATTTGTTTTGCGCTTTTCACGAATCGCTAGTGCTAGATGATATGAAGTTGACGTCTTTGTATCACCATTAGTTAATTGGCAACTTGGTAGTGACTGCCAATCCATTAGCAAACAGATCGCATCTATAAGTTATTTAGTTGGGTATGCTGTTAACACTGCATACCGGACTAAATAACTAGACTAGCACTAAATAGATAAACAGCTAAAACTAACGACGCTATCGTTGGTTGCGACGTAGACCGGTAAGAATTTTATAGTGGCGTTAATTAAATGTCGTAGTTAACTAGATTAAATATAGCTGTTACACGAATGGGCAGGTTCGTAGAGATAACCCGGCCAAAATAAACGATGGGCGCGAAGTGGGAGCACAATATTGGAGTCTGGTAAGCATGGTATCCGGAGCTCAATCCGGGGTTTCATGGGCGGCGGTAATTATTTAACATCACGCGCAAACGTGTGCAAACGTATCATATCTGTCTAGTGTCCAGTTGTGGCTACCGCTCATTAATGAGCACAACAGCTTTCCAGTTAGTTGCTTTGCTAACTTTTATCAAGCCGGTCCCATGATACCTCACTCGTCAAATGAATTGCAAAGGCAGTAAAAGCAGGTTGAGTACAACTTGGCACCAGTCTCCCGTTCGTATAACCGTTCTTTTTTCGTTAAGATTCCACACCGGGTAGTGGCTTCGATTCCCACCCGGAACAAGTATTTGTATGCCCTACAGTCTAGGAGAGATGAAACTCATCACTGTAGGCTGCAGACATTTTTTGTGGGTCTGGATGTTTGCCTTTTTTTAGTCTTGTCTGGTAATCGTTTCTAAAACAAAGAGATAACTTATTCTACAATAGAAGCAATGTAATTATTTATTGCAAAGAAACTTATTGTAAAATAGTGAGCCGTAAGTTAGAATGATGCTGGGATAAGGTCGGTCGACCGGGGAATTACCGCGAATAGACAACCCGCGTGAACTAAAAAGTACGAGTATATACAGTTCCGCTTTATATCCTGGTAACTGAGATAACCTGATGTGGTTAGCGGGCATGCTTGTAATATTTCAAGTGTTGTATCTATGGGCGTCTGTCCTTACCATCAGGCGAAACGTTTGCTCTATTACCGTGGCTTCGAATTAAAATAACTACTTTATGTGGTAGGGCCGCACAGCAGTTTCGGCTGTTGCACGAATGAGCAGGAAGTACCACTCCACAGAAGACCGGAGTGAAGTAGAAGTATGGATTATACTTTCGCTTTTCATCTGTTGAGTGTGGTAACCGGGGCCCACTTTTTTAATGTTAGCAGCAACGCATCTACAACGCGTCAGTTTTTCTATATGTCATTGGGCGAACCGCCTGCTCGCTTGCCAACTTTTCAAAGGAAAAAAAATATATTTTTGTGTTCATAGCTCACGTCTAGCTAATTCAGTCCACCTGTCACAGACCTCATTAAGTGATCTGTATATGACATGTTGTGAACATGGTTAGTTTGTAATTTTGTAAACTCGTTGAGGCTAGCAAATGCGACTCGAACCTCCGCCCTGATAATGTATATCCCGATTTCTATGCAGGTGGACAACTAAATACTCCCATTTATAAAGGAACTAGTTTTATCTCCCGGTGCAAGGTGTCATAAGACGTCGTTGTGCAGGAATGCTACCTGCGAATAATATTATTTTATTTGAGTAGCCAATATCTTTAATTTTCTATTTTTGAATCGCAAAGGTTAGCTTACCACAATTCTTTGTATCTTAGGAACGTTTCAAATGGAAAACGCGCTAGATTTAGGTAAGTTCAGTATAAAGCGTTCAAATAATTATCCGTTTGGTGTCTTGGAAGATTTTTTTTTAACCATCCCAATACATCTGTTTTTTTTTATTTATATGTAAAGCGTACTTATCTGCACGGGATTATATTAATATAAATACAATTCCTTATTGTCTCTTTTAGGTTATCTTAAATAAGTTTATTGTATTTCGTAGCTAATTAAGATTTTTTTTCTTTTGTCAACTAAACTGTCTTAGATAGACAATAAAGAAGATGAGAAGAATTTCAATTATAACGAGATTTCGTGGTACTTTTATTTTATTTAATGACATTTGAGATTTATAAAACTCTTCAATCGAATACTCGTCCGTGTATGGAGGTAGAATCGCGCATCTATTTTTATGCTGCATTTAACTCGAGGAATGCTGTACTTTGCTCGCGATAGTGAGTTTTAAAAATGAGGGTTAACTTACTTATATATTTTTTGAAATTATTGACAAAAACATCTTATACATTTATAGTTAATAATTGTAAATTTTCCTTTATTTATAATTTCATGTTTTATTTGGTTGGAACTCGGCACTATATTTAGTTATTATTGTTAAGGATGTTCCATTGACCTATTTCTTTCCATTTATCCAGTCGATAGATAAAAATAAATCGTTTTCTAATCTAATTCTTGCATTTTGTTACAGGATAAACTATTTCCTTACGCTGAGGAGAAAGTCAAGCAGTTCTTAGAAAGCCAATGGGAGAATGAAGATGTGAAGGAGGTTGTCATTGCACTGAGGAAATTGGCACTAGAGGACAAAGAGAAGAGCGTTGATGGAGTTGTCATCATACCTGACGAGGTATCAAATTTGTCTAAGAGGATGCGTGAGCCACGTGGTCATAATAATCATATAACCTTAACTTTATATGTAGAGCCCACTGTACCATCTTCTCTGTACAGAAGGAGCATAGTCCAACACGCGACCCCAGCTCAGATTGGCAGACTTGTTCAGGATATACGCAGTTTTCCTCACGATCAAACGTTGACGCATGACGACATTTCTGTCGGTTACGGGCACTTAGGTCACTCTTTTGTCCCAGTATATCGCCAATCTGCTTCGTATATGTGAATCTGTAGCTTAGGTTTCCAAAGCAGTTGATACTGAATTATTGGCTTATGGGGATGACCCAAGAGGTCCGTGGTAACTTAGAAGTGTTTTGGGGTGTGTTAAGTGAAAGAAAAATTTCACAATTTGTCCACAGATTTGTCCACAGATTTGTGGACACAAGTTGTAAAGTTTACTTGAAACCAGCATTCTAACCGAAACTGCCAGTTGGCTGCAGATGGCTCGAAGTACATTTTGCTGCGCACTGTAAAATTAATAATAAAAAATTGGACAGTAATGTATGTTAAATAAGAAATGGAGGTGATAAACACCTCACTACGTCCCATAAGATAAACTGTGAAGTAGTTTAACCTAGTAATGCTATTTGAATTTCAGGATGCGTCTAAGGAGGAGCAGATTGAAGGTCTGGTGAACAACGTAAAGTGGCAGATGTCTGCGGACCGCAAGGCGGGCCCCCTGAAGAAGTTGCAGGGGCTTATCTGGAAACAGGGGTACGACAACGGAGATATAAAGGGGCAGTGAGTATTCTTATTTTTGTGGCATTATTAACTATTGAATGTTGACATAGTGTAAATTGAGCATTCCATAATTCAAAAATAATATTAATATTTATTTTGACAAGAAATAATCTGAAAAATATCAATTCAAACTCTATTGATAAGCGGTTTAGTAATGTGCATTTAGCGAACAGTTTTAGTGCTCGTGAACAGGTTATTGTATTGAGACGGTATGGCCGGAATTTCTTAGGTGTCCATAATGTTAGGAAAAGTTAAAAATAATCTTAAAAAAATGAGGTCACAAGTACGTACCAGATTCAGTTTGAATCGAATTCTACATATGCTCTGTTAATACGTCCGTCGTCTATAAAATCACCTTGTAGGTAGATGTATCCGTGGCGCAGTTGTCAAGCTACTGATTTCGGCGGCGGGGGCCGTGGGATCGATTCCCTCACGGTGCAACTATATATGACCTACAAATAATTGTTGTGAATTTTGGTGCTTATTCCCAAGGAGGGTTGACGTCGGCAGGTGGCCGATCGTAAAAAACAGCCAAAAACTACTTACAACATGATTGACACGTTGTACCTCGAGCCTACCTTAGGTGAGATAAGGACGAGAGAAAGAAGAAGAGACCAACTATTATGTACATTTTACTCTCTCTGTTCATATTCGATGTTTTTATAACAATAATAATACATAATTTTTTAACATTACAGTGAACGTTATCAGTGAAAGTCACGGCCAAAGGCGTAGGTCAATCACATTGGCCATTAAGTTGGACATTACGACATTTAACTTTAATTATTGTAGCACCGTATCTTATCTTATCCATATTCCTTGTTTGTGCTGTTTTAAAACCCCTAGCTTCTCCTTTGTGGTTATTTATTTTTTTAATTTATTTTATGCTAAAAGTTGGCAACTGCGGCTTGCCTGCTTCACTTGATGAATGTTAAGTTATTTCCACTACCAATGGTCGTGTACAATACCTGACGGATGGCAGATGCGTTGCCAACATTAAAAAAAGTGGGCCCCGGTTACATCACTCACCAGATGAATCGCGAAAGAATAATAAATACTTCCAGTTCACGCTGGTCTTTTGACAAGACTTCCGCATACAATCGTGCCCATTCGCGCAGCAGCCAAAACTGTTGCGTTGTCCTAGCACAGAGAAAGCTTAAATACTAAATTATTTATCTACAGCTGGTTTCAATATTATATCTACAGATAGATAGATTGTCTACTGGAGAGTATTATAGACCTAATGTCAAATACCTATCGCAAGTCACCGAATGTATCTGTAGATTGAATATTGAAACCGGATGTTATACATAGTGGCTTACTAGCCGATCCGCTGACCCTCTCTAACCCTCTATTACAGCGTCTACGACGACGTCTCGTCCGCCCTCGAGCAGTGGCGGTCGGTGGACGGCCAGAAGGTGTACATATACTCGTCGGGGTCGGTGCAGGCGCAGAAGCTGCTGTTCGGGCAATCGCAGGCCGGCGATCTGCTTCCCTTCATCGAGGGCCACTTCGACACGGCGGTGGGCGCTAAGCAGGAGGCGGCCAGCTACGTCGCGATCGCGGAGAAGATAGGCTGCAGGCCCGACGAGGTCCTCTTCCTCACGGACGTCGTTAAAGGTTGATTTAGCAATTTGTACAACTTGTAATTTGTATTTTGTAGTGTGGGTAAAGGAAGCAAGGTTCGGTTCGGTAACTTTGGTAGGGCTACGCGACAGCTTTTAGGCTGTTGCACGAATGGGCAGGGTCCTCTTCCTCACGGACGTCATTAAAGGTTGATTTAGCAAATTGTAATTTGCATTTTGTGGTGTCGGTAAAAAAGCGCGGTTCGGTGTAGTTTCGGTTGAGTAACTGTGGTAGGGGTCCACGCGACAGCTTTCGGCTGTTGCACGAACGGGCGGGTACGTCCTGGAAAGTATCACAAGCTCTCAGAAAACCGGCGTAAAATTGAATTATACCTGCGCTTCGTCTGGTGAGTGAGCTAGCCGGGGCCCGCTTTATTAAAAGGTCGCAATGCATCTGCAACCCTAACGATGTTGCGAATGTCTATGGGCAGCTGTTATCATGTAATATTTTTGGGACATATCTATATTAACTAGATCTAAAAATTAAAATTAAATGTTTTGTGTATCAAATACCTCTGTTGTATTAAATACTTATTACTGTGATGGTAAAGTTTTCGTATATGGTTACAACCCCAATTATTATTAAGGTATGGTTAAAATAAATGACTATTTGGGGACATTTTTACACAACATTATCTAGACCCAAACTAAGCAAAGCTTGTACTACGATTACTGATAAACATACTTTTTTTTGTAAATAAATATATTATGATATATAAACACCCAGACATTTGAAAAACACTAGGTTCATCACACAATATTCTTCCAGTAGTGGGGATCGAACCCACACCCTCTGGCGCTATAAACAGGGCACACTATCAACTACGCCAATTGGGTGGTCAAATTACTAGTACAATAAATAATCAAAACTACGCCAAGTTGGCCGTCGTTTAGTAACATGAGGGATAACTTTTTCTTTCACAGAGGCGGAGGCGGCGCGCGAGGCGGGCATGCACGCGGCGCTGGTGAGCCGCGAAGGCAACGCTCCGCTGCCCGCCGAGGCGTCAGCCGCCTTCGCGGTGCTGCACAGCTTCGGCCAGCTCGCCTCCAACAAGCGAAAGACCGAGCCACAGGTGCCGCACTAACACGCACACGCACGCGCGCTCACACACACACACGCACATACAAACACACATTTCCAGTAACACACATGGAAAATGATCCCGAACACGCGCGTACGCGCACAAATAAAGTTTTGAACTCTTGCTAGCGGATCATTGTCCGACGAAATTGACCGTGGCAGGTACATAGACTGAATTACATAATATCTTCAAAATAATCTCGATATACAATTTCTTCCATAATACTTCATCAAAATGAATGATTTAAATCCCATTTTAAATCTTGTTTGCTTATGCTTATGTACTATTGCCGAAAGTAGTTAATGATTCCTTTAAAAATATCATTGAAAAAAATAATTTAATGAATTTACGATAATGCCATCATTTAACAATTTGTTTAAATGTAAGTAGCAAAATAGGGTGAAAAACTGTATTCTTCAAAATAAGATACATTACACTGATAACACACATTAATATGTTACTATTTGGTGATTGAAGGTGGTGCCGGTACTGTGCGAAATTCTTCACAGTTCAACTAGTATTTTGTTATTTAAAATTAGAATCAGACAACAATTAATAAAAAATTGCACACAATGAAAACTAGTTTGCTTAAAAGTGTTAATATATTATAGTGGATAAATTTCATTACTTTTGTTGTAATTCAGAAGTGATGAGCTTAGTAAATAATGCTTTTTATTTTTCAATTACCTCATTCACTATTTATACTTTGTGTATATGTTTTAGTAAAATCGCCATTGTATATTGAAACATAGTTTTATATATTTTAGTAGTAGTGATAGTTATTTACGACTATAACACGTAAACTTGCCACTAATATTCATTTTATCATAATAAAAAATTAATATATACTTTGTTACACAAAATATTCGAATATCTGTATGTTGCATAAATAAAAGGTGATGGTGATTTACAATAAATTTTGGGGTAATGAAAAAGTTTTTCGAACATAGATATGTTGAATATAGTTTTTAGCGTTAATAACATTTTTACCTTTCTGGTTACAAAAAATTTTAAGGTTTTAACACAACAATTGCACAGTTTAATATCTAATAAAACAACAATTATTATGTGGAAACAAACTCATACACCAAACCTATAGAGTAATTTACCTCCTGTGGAAACAAGTAATTTAGCAAGGAACAAGATTGAACTGTAGAAGTTGTGAAAAATTTTAAACATATTTTGTATGATATTTATATGTTTATTAAGGTTCGTAAGGGTTAATTATTTATTAAGGTGATATCACATTACTACAAAGTTATTTTTATTATGAAGCTTGCATTCATTATTGCATCCTATATTGAAACATCCTACAATACTACTGAAATACATGTAAAGAAAATGCCATGATTCTTTTGTAAGAGGAATGGAGAAGTCATAACTCTGTTAATCAGACCTGAGTTTTAAAAAGTGCAGTATAGTATAGTTAATTGGCATATCATACTATATTTTTATACATTATATATTTTAGTTTAATCTTTGTGAAAATCGATACACAAACTTTATTGAACTACAGTTTTATCTTATACATTAACCACTTACGCCAAAAATTTGCAAAAGGACTTGACTTTTTAGGCAGTGTTAATTCAGTTAAAATAATTGTGTATTGTGTATCCTTTACTTTTATAAAAATAAATGAGTATTCTATTTTATAATGGCTTATTTATTTGCATGCTGTGGTTTTGTATTTTTTATTTATCTTATCCTGTTGAAAGGCATTTTGATATTGGCTTTGCTCACTTTATCTAAATTCGTCTTTCCGTCCGATTACAACTTAGGCGTCTTCAAGGCAAGAGTGAATAGGTTTTTACTGAGCTAGCGCGCTTACCATCAACGATTGCATCGCCACTTACCATCAGGTGGGATGGCAGTCAAGTGCTGGCCAGTATTGAATGAAAAAAAACTCAATTATAATAGATGATAGGTGGTTGTTTTTTTAGTAGTAATTAATTGCGGTTGTAGATAGTAGTGTTTCTGTTTAATATTTTCGTTGTTTAATATTCTTTATTTTTTTTGTGGCAAAGAGATAAGTGAGATGGCGGTTCGCCTAGGCGTTCGATGGCCTTAAGCCGCCCAAACTAAATCAAACTCAAAAGTAGAATATTTCTAAAAGTGCCAGTCTTATAATATTTCCATAAGAAATCTCAAGAACCTCTGTTTTTATATCACAAGTCTGATTCATTAAATATGCGGCTCTTTATGCCTGTTTGATTTCGAATTTGTTAAATGTACAAAATGATATCACTATAATAATGCGCACTTTTGACAAACACAAAATGAGCATTTCTTACAATGTAATTCTTGTTTCAGGATGAACTACCTGCTAAAATTGCGAAAACTGAAGACGAGAACGGAGCAAAAACTTTGACAGAAGAAAAGCCTGTAGAATCGAAAACTGAAGAAAAGGTAACGGAAAACGCGGAGAAAATGGAAGGAGTTGAAGAGGCTCCTGCGGAAGAAATGAAAGAGCAAATAGAATCTGAGAAATCAATGGTTACTGAGACAATTGTCGAAGAAATTACTGATGCAAATGAGCCAATTGATGTTCCTGTCGCAGATATAGAACCAGTTGTTATTGAGGAGAATTTAGAAAAGAAAGAAGATAAACCAACTGAAAAAATGGAAACAGATTCCACTGAAAACGAAGGTGTGTTAGGAGAAAAAGAAAAGGAAGATGTTGTTGTGGAAAAGAAAGAAAATATTACAAAAGACGCTGCTCCAGTTGCTGAAGAAACTCCACCTACAGTTGAAATTGAAGAGATAACTAATGACAAAGCTTTAGAGGAAGCAGAGGAGATAATAGATGATATTGAACCAGTCGTTGAAGAACCAGCTGCGACTGAAGATATGGAAGTATTGCAAAGTGTTGGAGAAGTTCTAGAAAAGGAATGTGATGAAATATTGTCGAAAGTTCAAGATGTGACTAATTTAGATACAATACCGGTTAAACCTTTACTTAATACTATCGCTGAAGAAACTATGGAAAGCGAAAATACCGATTCTAATGATATTGTAGACAGAATATTAGACACTGAACAAGAACTTGAAAAGGAAAAATGTGAAAAAGTTCAACCGGTAATCAAAGACGTAAAAGAAGAAACAGTTGAGAAGAAAGCGACTATCGAAGATGTTAACAAAAAAGAGTCTGAAAATATACCAGAACAAAACTTACCCAAGGAAGCTGAAGAGTCTAAAAAGGAAACAACTAATAAGGACGCAATACATTCTGAAAGTAGTAAAGTAGAATCGAAGGAAGAAAGTAAAACGGATGAGTCTAATAAAAGTGAAGTTAAGAATACTGAGGAAGTTGTTAAATTATCCGCTGAACAGAAGTTGCCTGAAGAAAGTTCGGACAGTGATACAAAAGTTCCTATTGAATCGAAAGACAGTTCTGTAGTGGATGAAGTGAAACCAGAAACAGAGTCAACGGAATCGCAAGTTAACGGAAAAGCAACAAACGGTGAATCGCAGTCTGTTAGTTTGAATGGTGATGCAAGCAAAGATGTGGAGTTGAGTTCTCGACTATCCGCCGAGAATGGTAAACAGGAGGAAGTCAATGGCTCCAACGGTGACTCGGGCGGTACAGAGGAAACTCAGGACGAGAAAAAAGTTGAGGCCGAAATTCCTGATATCAAAGTGAAGTCAGTACCAACTGAGGAGCCACGCACCGATCCTATAGAGCAACCCACGGAAGCATAAAGTAAGTTTTTAATAAATACATTTACAAGTATTTTAATGAATTCTTTAGCCGATTCGTAGAAAAAAGCATTAACGAAACATCTGAATATGCTCTAAGCAAACTCACACCCATCATTATCACTCGGCCTAACTACTTAGTAGTTAACTTTCCATCTTAACACATCAGAATAACTTATTAGTATACTGTTAGCTTAATTGATGTAACGTTTTTATATAATTTCTACTTTTTCTGTTTTTTTTTTTTTTAAGAGCATTGCCCTCACTTTTATAATATTATCCTGTGTTGTAAGGTTGTTTTACAAACCTACATTTCACGTGGACAAACACAAAAATGCGAAACAACTATCTGTGGGTCGCACAAATAGTTCCTTCGAAGCCGACGCGCCACGGAATCATCTCAGAGATATCAGATTCAGTATATTCATTCAGAATATATTTCTCTTTTTCTGCGGTGAGGCTGTTGTCATCTGTTGAATTTGCAAATACAGATGAACGCATCCAAAGGCGTTAGAACAAAATACTGATAAATTTTTTTCATTTTTACCTTTACTACATTAGAATTGGACGAGAATACGTCAGAATCAAAACAGGTAGATGTTAGTTATTATTTTTTCCTAATTATCAAAGTAATATAAAATTTCAAAGTCGGGGGTTTTGTTGGGAAGTGTATTGATGTAGGTGGCTCAGGATCGTGCTTCGTGGCAGAAATGACCTATATTCAGGATTGGACACAAACAGGCTGAGATAATGATGATAATATTTAATAACCAATGTTTAATGATGCAAATCATAACTGTGTTTCAGCGCGTGACGGGCTGGACTGTGGCGTTGTATCGTTGTTGGCTCACATCAGGGAAATGACAAGACTGAGGGGTTGCTTCCACGCCAATTGAAATCACTTCCTAGTTTATACGCGTAATGAGAATTCACCGTGTACCGCGCGGTGGCCGCTTCGTACATTGTCGACTCTTCGGGAACACCGCAAAGTCGGGGAACCGCTTAAAATGAACTATGCATTGAATTAATTAACTATTAAGTATAATCGAATAGGATATGTCTAAGCTATGGTTAAATTATATTAGATATAAACAATTACCCGCCGCCCGATCTGTCAAGTGCTACCTCATATCCCCTTGATGATATTGCCCATGACAAATCGGACGGCGTGGCTAGTTTTTTAACGATTCCAATATTTTTACCCGCTAGTTTTATTTAGGTGTAGTCTAGACATCTCATATTCCATTATATTTGTATCAGTTTGTACTTTAGTCATAGGCTATAATAGTTCTTTAAGTTTTTGTATACCCCTTTTTGTATTTTTAACAGTTCGTCGAACGACATTCCTTGAATGTGAAAACAGCTAAATATTTTGAATGGTTATAGATACTAAATTTCGATTGATGCCAAATTTCGGGTTCCTATGGATCGTGATCTGATTTTCATTGGATTTTACACACGAAAGATAAGTTTGTCATTATTATGTGAGTCTTGTGACGACGAAAGCGTTAGCCGCTTGTTTTCTTTATCCGATCAGTCGACTAAATACTTATATTAGTTAGATTTAACGAGAATTAGGGTATAAGTAAGGTCTTCGTGTAAAAGAGTCTGTTGGTTTCTCACCAGTTTTGTGTCGTTGTAAATGTTCGTGAGTCGTAGATAGTAAGACCTAAGGGGTGACAGCGTACCGCGACTGTCACCGCCTTGTCTGTGTTTGACGTAAGGTAAGTTTTATCCGCTAAGTATTAACTGTATTGTGATCTTTCCTCGTATATATTGTTGGATCCAACGTAAATATTCGTTCACTGCCAAACTTCGCGTTCGTGCGATGTCGCTTCTACGGGATACGTGTGCAGTGTGATATTGTGACTACAAGAAGACTGCAACTAGTTTCCAGTGCGTGAGCTGTGTTCGTTGTTGGTGCGGGAACGGGCGTTTTACAATCTGTGTCGCTAATTGGTGTAATTCGTACTTTACACGATTTGAGCCCGCCGACTGCAGACAATGATTTGGTTTTGAATCTCCTGTGTGCGAGTTGTATGCATAGGAATTTTTGAAGGGCGCATTGACCTCTGCTTTGTACGACTCATATCTTTAGCTGTATAACTCGTTTATATTTATTTTCTACGAGGATGAGGTGGGTGGACTTTGGGAAAAGTGATGCAAAACCATTTTAATGAGAATAAAGTCTGAAAATCTATCGATGTTACTCTACACGAAACGGATTATGATCTACGGTGTTTATAGTATTAATTTATTACCTACTATTATTGTACCAGTGATGCGTAACTGTTAGTATTTATAATTTTCGCTATTATGTATAAGTTCTAAATTTACGTTCCTCCATTTATCTTTAGTTTGTAAGGCTTGAAATGTGCACGTGTCCGTTCGAAGCGACATCAATCGTGAGGGATTTTCCCCCCGTCTAGACTGATTTTTACTCTTTTAACAAGATCATCACAATATCAGTATCTCTATAAATATAATATAACTGATAATCATTTGAAGCGTAACAATTTTATTCGATATTCCAAAAGTGCCGGTTCATGACATCGATAGCTCGGGGTGATCCAAACTATCAACAAGTTCCTTTTTACTTCAAAGAGGTCGACTGTTTCAATTGTGTTAATATTATTTATCATCTAATGACGTTGAAAAATATAATGGATGTACATTTTTTTTTTACTGGCATTTCATTATCTGTATTATTTACTGTAGTAACTGTTCACATGAAACCCTATGTTTATTACAATTAAATAAATCTACAAAATTAATATGAAAGGTCTGTTTGTTATTCACTTCATTTTGTTGGTACGCTTTACAAATTTCCTTAACCGAGTCTTAGGTTCTGAAGCTTTCTTATGACTGTGCTAGTGATCAGATGAGTAAGGAAAGGAATTTTCGAAACAAAATACAAATTCATCTATGAAGATCAAGTCCTATTACTTTAAAAATATCACTGATTATTGGGAAGGCGTAGCAATGATTCCAGTTGTATAAGATTTGGGTTTCGCACGATTTACCTAGACACGATAAAAGCTTTGCTAATAAGTTTGTTTTGCATCGGACATCAGCCGATTATAACTAATTTTTTTATGTGAAAAGTTTTTAAGCTGGTTCATCTGATGTTAATTTATTACCGCCGCATATTACATTACACCTGTGATTGCGTGTTTCCAATCTTTTAAAACAGTGGGCACGGATTAAGGCACTCCGGAAAAACTAAAGTATATCTCTCGCTTAACAAATTTCGAATTTTGAATGATCGATAATTTTGAAAGATGATCGAAGTTACCCACCCATTTCATGTTCAGTTGAAAAATATTCGCTGAACATTAAATTACTTGAGGTAAGTAAGTCTTGTGTGAAGGTTTTATTTTTAAGGGATTTAGATTAGGACTATCTTTGAGTGTACTAGTACATCTTTTCTTAATTGTTATCTGGATAGCTGTCTCTAACCGACATGTACGTGTTGCTTTCACACAACAAAATTTTCCTTCAGGACCACAATGTTGAATTTGCAAAATGTTGAATTCCTAAAATGTTGAATTCGCAAAATGTTGATTCCTAAAATGTTGAGTTAAATGTTGAACTTGCAATATGTTGAATCCCAAAACGTTGAATGCAAAAAAGTTGTATCCCAACAATGCGAACAACCATATCAGAGTATAATCTAAATTGAAATGTATTTTATCTGTGATTTTTATAGATATTGTTATATAAATTATTATTGTGGGGATATTTATTTGTTTTCTCGTCTGGTTATAAATAAAAATAAACATATAGATATAAATATTGTATATTAAACGGGTGGACGATGCGGGTGGTATCGAGGTGCACCGCCTTCTGCATTTGAGCTTGGAGCGTTCCATCCCGGAGTCTCAGTCGCCTCAGATGTTCATAGGGTGACTGGGATCAACCTATTCGCAGACACGACTATCGGGATAATTTCAGTCAACACACCACCCCACATGTCGGTCACCTCGTGAGCCAGGTCACGATGTTTCGGCTTTCACGAGGTTCTCGTCATATGGGATGGTAATGTCGACCAAAAATACCCGCGACTGTGCCCGGTCCATCAACACGATATCAGGTTTGTTCGCGAGAATCGACCTGTACGTGATGATGGGCCGGTCCCAATAGAGCCTTGCGCGGTCATGGTCGAGCACGGCCTCTGGGTAGTACTTGTAGTACGACAGTGTCCGATCCACGAGACCGTATTTCAGAGCAAGGTCCTGGTGTAGGATTCTGACTACTAGGTTGTGTATATGCAAATACTCAGAGTTAGAAAGCATGGAACAACCGGAGATAACATGCCGAAGTGACTCCCCGGGATGGTGACAAGCTCGACAGATGTCGACGGTGCCATCCCTTAGGATGTATTTCCGATAGGTGTTCTCGTCTTAATAACCTGATCCTGTATCGCACAGACAAAACCTTCGGTTCCCCAAAGCGGTCACCGAAAGGTGCCAGTTAAGGGAGGCAAAAATATCTACGAAAGGTTCTTGCAGAGCCTTGTACAACCTCCCGTGGAGCTCTTTCCCTTTAATATAATAAAATAATTCATTCCATATAAGAACTGAAGCTTCTTTAAGTCTAAGGACTGAAAGAGTAACATCAGTTATACAAAAAACAAAAAAAAATGTTACACAAATTTTTTTGTTCGATGTTACTTGGTTTTCGACTTTTCTTTTTCGATTTCCTTTTGTTTTGCACTATTTCGATATGACCTAGATAGTACCAAACAACACGGCACAATAATACCATACAGCAATTCATTAGTTAGGATTCAACATTTCGCAACTTCAACTTTTTGCGAATTCAACATTTTAGGAATTCAACATTTAAGGAATTCAATATTTAAGGAATTCAACATTTTGCAAATTCAACATTGTGGTCCTGAAGAAAAATTTTGGATATGTAACCCATGTGCGTTTGGGACGTCTATTTTTAAATACTATGTGTACAAGTAAAAGTGTTCAGATATTATGTTACAAAGGCTCATGGCGATACTTCTGTAACAGGGCAAGATGGACTATAATTTAAATGAAGAAAAGTAAATACTTACTGGAATGTAACTGTTGCGATTTTTTACATTCATCAGCTTTATTTTTTTTTACAATCAATTCACCTAATTAAACTTCTCTGGACCACCCAAAGGTCGACTGATAGATACTGCTGATGGCATTAAGTCCGCCTCTATACATATTTTGTGTGCATAAAGTATAAATAAATAAACACATTTTTATGGAAAAGAAGACAAACGAGCAGGCGGGACCATCTCTAGGTAATTGTTAACCAACCATCGAGGTAGTTGGTATTTGCCAGTTAGACGCGTTTTACAGTGGCAAAATTCAGCAGCAGGTATTAATTCGAACAACTCCCCGTGTTAGATTCCATAGAAAACGCAGAGGTGAATCATCTATTCGCAAGACCAAAGTCGAAACGATTGGAAAGGATTTGGTCGGCGCGGATTCGAGCAGTCCTACATTGGATGCGGTCAAATAAAAAGAGCTCGTATAGGGGTGACCCAGACCAAATGTGAGAACTGCGTTCATGTTCGGCCGAATTTGCGTTTTGTGAAGCTGCAGGCGATGGAATGGCACAAAATACTGGATCGCTTTACCAAGGACACCAAGATTTTTAGAAGCCAGTTTAGCTTTCTCTTACAAGTGAATTCCGACACTTATCGGTATATTCCTGAGAAATATTTGCCCGGCCATATAAAGCGTCACCAGTACTGTCATTCCCATAACAACGAATGTTTCTAATATGCAACAAGTAGCGCCAGTCCAAGGGTAAAACAAGTGAAGCGAGTGTCGCTCTAGGCCAGGTATCAAGGGGCGTTAAAAATCAAATGC